CAAGTCGAATGTTGAGAAGTTTCAATCATACCTGGCTCACGTTAATTCCGAAGGTGGATTCGGTGGAAACTGTCCGTCAGTTGCGCCCCATCAGCTTATGCCAATTTGTGTACAAAGTGATAACTAAGATCATGGCTGAGCGTCTTGCGGGGTTGCTTCCCCCGGTCATTTCTGAGGGGCAGAATGCGTTTATTCGAGATCGACAAATTATTGAGAGTGTCTTGCTTGGACATGAGTTAATGCATTACCTGAAAATCAAAAAACAGGGGAAGAAGGGGTACATGGCTCTAAAGGTTGACATGGAAAAGGCCTATGATAGATTCGAATGGCCTTTTCTTCTCGCGGTTTTGGATAAGATGGGTTTTAAACCGGTCTGGCAGGAGTGGATTCATGAATGCCTTCGGTCTGCCTCATTTTCTGTCCTCATGAATGGTTCCCCCTCGGGGTATTTCGCCCCCTCCAGAGGTCTCCGACAAGGGGACCCGCTTTCTCCGCTCTTATTTGTGCTTTGTACGGAGGGGTTTGCCGCTCTTCTCCGGAAGGCGATCTCGGAAAGGAAGCTTGAGGGGGTTAAGGTGGCCCCTCGGGCCCCTAGAATCTCCTACTTGTTTTTTGCGGATGATTCGTATTTATTTCTGAGAGGTTCTCTTCAGGAGTGCGAGAATTTAATCGTCGTACTAAATGAGTATGAGGAGCTGAGTGGTCAACGGGTTAATCTGGAGAAGTCCGCGGTGTGTTTTAGCAAAAATGTTACTTTGCCGGACCAGGAGTTTTTGGCTGCTATCCTCGGAGTAGGTGCGGTGGGTGTGCATGATAAGTATCTGGGTCTACCAACTCTTGTAGCCAGATCGAAAATGGCGACATTCAGATATTTGGAGGAGAAACTCATTGAGCGGCTTCAGGGGTGGAAGCAAAGGACTTTATCTTGGGCAGCTAAGGAAACTTTGATTAAATTCATAGCGTTGGCCTTGCCATTACATGTCATGTCCTGCTTTAGGCTTCCTTTGACCTTGTGTCGTCTTCTGGATAAATATGTGGCCCGCTTTTGGTGGGGGGGAGAGGAGGGGCATTCGAAGATTAGGTGGGTGTCCTGGCGAAATATGTGCAGGAGTAATCATGAGGGGGGGATGGGCTTCCGCCAATTCGAGCATTTTAACCAGGCTCTTCTAGCAAAGATTGGTTGGAGGATTCTCAGTGAGCCCCAGTCCCTTATTGCCCAGGTCTATAAAGGGAAGTATTATCCGCGAGGGTCTTTCCTGAGTGCGCAGGCTCGGTCGCGCCCCTCTTGGGGGTGGCAGAGTATCCTCTTTGGGAGACAGCTGTTGGAAAAGGGGCTTCGTTGGCAGATTGGGAATGGGCAGTTGGCTTCCCTAATCCACTCTAACTGGATTCCGGGAGCCCAGCTCGACCCGCCTTGTTATAATCCTTTGGTCTTACCGGAGGTGGGGGACCCTTTAGTGGCGGAGGTTATCATGGATGGAGAAGGGCGGTGGGCGGAGGACAGGCTTCGTCGGTGGTTCGACCCGCCTACCTGCAAAGCTATACTGGCTATTCCTCTCCCACGCCGGAGTGTAGAGGATAAACTCATTTGGCATTATACGTCTGATGGTGTCTTCTCCGTGAAGTCAGCGTACCATTTGGCTGTGGATTTGGATAGGAGGAGGTGGGGGTTGGCGGTCCTCGGTAAGCGTGATGGATAAACCTAGTTGGATTAAAGTGTGGGGTGCGCAGATTCCTCCGAAGCTGAAGGTCTTTGTCTGGCAAATTCTTAGCCGAGCTTTACCAACTACAGAGGCTCTTATTGAGAAAAAGGTTCCTGTGTTACCACGGTGTCCTGTGTGCTGGGAGAGCCCGGAGACGATGGAACACTTGTTTCTTGATTGTCCGGTCGCGCGGGCCCTCTTGGGCTATGCTGGGTTAGAGCACCTAGGGGAGGGACTGCCTCGTCATTCCTTCCCTCTATTTCTCAAGCAGTTGCTGGCTTTGATTCATCAACCTCCGTTGTTTATGGCAGTGGTCGCTATCCTTTGGCGTATTTGGAAATCCCGGAATTGGGTTGTCTTTGAAGGCAAACAATTCGGGCCCCCTGCCCTTATGCGTCAATTTCATCAGCAGGTTGAGGAGTGGATGGGTTTTCCTTCGGTCCCTAATCCGGTGCTGGCTAGGGTGGGGCCCCCGTCTGTTGGTCAGGGGGTTTTGGTGCAAATGGTCTGCAGGTGGGATGGGGCTACCAAGCATGGTTCGCATTCGGCGGGGGGATGGTCCTTTTTGGCACGGAGCAGTCACTACTTATGGCAAGGGGGAGGCAGTTCCCTCATATGGATGATGCTGCTGTGGCGGAACTGCTTATGCTACGGGAGGCAGTTATGTGGTGTATGGAGACTGGTTTGTCTGCAGTGCGGTTTGAGGGCGATGCGAAGGTCATTATTGATAAGATTAATCGCGGGGAGACAAGTGATAGCAGGTTGGGTGCTGTTTTGGAAGAGATAATTCACTACTTTCGCACCAATCCGGAGTTTAGGTTGCGATTCATTGGGCGGGGGAACAATAGGGTAGCTCATTCGGTAGCTAGGAAAGCCCTTTCTTTGCCCCCTGCTATGAGTGGCGTTTTTTATTTTCGGGCCTGGCTTGGTTCCAGGGTGTAACTATCTATGTTTTTTATTAATATAATATATCTTTTGAAAAAAAAAAAGATGATTAACTAGCTAGCTAGCTTCAATACAATATTGCTATGATTTCAAATCAAATTATATATCGCCGACTAAGAGTCACAGTACACACATATTTTAATTGTTTTTTGTTTCGTCCGTAATATTTTCCTTTCCAATTTAGATAGACTTCAGGCCATCAATATAATATAATATATATGTATTCTAATCTCTATAAATTGTATATCCACAAATATCGTAAAATTGATTTTTCATGTCTGTAAATTAACTAACACATAAGCAAATATGTATGATCTCATCTGTTTCCCGTTGTAACAGACAACTTCCACTAAAATTCAATCATATGAAGTGGAAAGGAGGAAGCGAATTAGATACATACTTAGGGATGGATTTTCGGTTAGATTGATTATAATCGAAAAGTCAGTTACCGGTTAACCGCGACGCCAGCCGTGTCTACCGCCAACCGCCCGACAGAAACCATCGGTTAGCCGGCAATCGACCGGTCGGTTACCGTTTATTTGCTCGGTTAACCGTGGCAACCGCGATAAAGACGACGAAGAAAACGACGCCGTCTTGCAAACTTTGCCGCCGCCGCGAGCGGGGGAATCTTCTGACAACGACGACGATGAAGACAAGGGAGAAGTCCTGAAACTCATCTTCCCGGTCTCGGACCCCAAATACGCCCACGGATTGCAGGTCCAATAGGCCCTAATCGGCTCAATCTCGCTCTACAATGGCGAAACCCTCGGCGCGGCCGCCACGGGAGACGAGGAGGTCGAGGGCCCCGGGAAGCGGATGAAGGTGGACGAAGGCGAAAATTGGGCAGAGCGTGGTCACCGTCACCTGCCCCGACGTCGGGATGCGGGACCGTGATCGACCTCGAATCGTGCCGCGATGCTCTCCCCAAGGGAGTGATCGACCAGTGGGAGGAGGCTCTGTGCCGGAACCTGATCGGGGAGTCGGAGAGGTACTACTGTCCATTCAAGGACTGCTCGGCGATGCTTCTGGTGCTGGCGGCGACTTCGCGTTGGCGGAGCAAGGGTCGTCGTCGTCGCGACAGTTGGGGAGAGAGATGGTCGATAAGAGCGCCGCCAGCGGAGGGAGATGGCCGGAGGGTCTTGCGATGGAGGAGGGTTGGGCAGGCGGCACCGCGGTAGGGAGATGGAGGAGACGAGGGTCTCGCGATGCTGCAGAGCCAGAGAACATACTAGAGAGATTGAGGGCATGGCTGCTCGATTAGGGTTTAGGCGGAAGACTGGAGGGCAGCGTCGTTTTGTTTGAGTGGAGGAGGTTAGCTTTGCCGGTTAGCCGGTTAACCGGAGGTTATCACCGTCGGTTAGCCGGTTAACCGGCATAACTAATCTCGCTACCGCCAACCGCCCGAAATTGCAATTTTCGGTTAGCCAGTTAACCGATTACCGCCGGTTATCGTTTTAACATGCCGATTAACCGACAACCGAACGGCCAACCCTATACATACTGAAATAAATGCCACCTTCCAGAAAATTTGGATTATATCAAGAATGAAAATGAAAAGACATGAAATCAGTTGATCGCTATGTTGCTTGTGCTTTCTGGGCTTATATGTAATATTATGAGCCTTTCTTCTTGTTATACAATAGTGTTCTCTTTTTTGAAAATCCGTCGAAATGCTTGGTGTTAGTGGACAGTTCAAGACTTTTCAAGTGCTACATTGAAAATATAAGACAAAAAGACTTTTATAGATTATTATCGACCAAATTTTATTTTTGTGAGATCTTTTGGGAAGATATTAAAAAGTAAATCTAAACAAGTTTGGATCAAAGTGGACATTATTGTACTAATATATCATATCAACACTATAATATACACTCTGCCGTCATAAAAATCAAGCCTCATCGAAATCAATAACTTTGATGATGACTTGATTGCGACCACTAACAATCATGTTTATTTTTATGTTTGCAATCCGATTATAAAAATGAACTATATATCCATAGTTCGTTCTAATCATAAATATGAAATATTAATAATAAAGTGAAATTTTTTCCTCGATAGTCGACGATACCATATTGATATGAAAATTTCAAAAGATTCGAAATCCTATTGTGCCGGACAGTCGGACCTGATATCGTAGCTGCTCAAACGATATACAATTTTAACAATATGAATTGATTAAACCACGATTTTAGTACAAAACATTCTACCGCTAACTTTTCTCTTACCACTAACATCACTCATTAACAGTCTAACTGCAGGTTTGATTTCTTCGACCACACATATACATAAGGGGTGAGACTTGAATATAGAAAACTCACACGCTTCACTTACTAATCAACAGTTCACAAAAACATCTAACGATTATCAAACAACTAATTAACATAAAATGTTCATATAACAATCTAGTGATGGAGAGTAGCATAGGCGTTGATGAGAGCCAAGGCGTTGCTGGTGAGCTGACCAATCGTCTCAATCTTCCCTCTCACCGCCGTCTTCATCTCCCCGTCGGCCACGGCCTTCTCCGCGAACCCGTCGGTGCACGTGCTCTCGTCGGTCAAGGCGGCGCTGACCCACGTCTGCACGTCGCTGATCATCATCCCGAAATCCGCGCCGCCTTTGTTCGCCGCCATCTCCGCCATGGACTGGCGGATGAGGTCGACGGAGTCACCGAGCACCTCCACGCAGTCGCGCAACGCCACGTACTCGCGGGGGCTGAGGCCGCGGGACTGCTGGAGCTTGACCATGGCGGCGGAGGTTGACTTCGCTGACGCTAGGGTGACGTCGAGGGCGGTGGAGGCCATGAGCTTGGCGCTGGTCTGGATTTTGGTGGCGTGGACGGCAAGGGAGTTGTAGCATAGCTGAGGGTACGTGGTGGCGCTGCAGGACGTGCGGATGAACTCGGTGTTGGTCGTTGCGCCGGCGGCGGCGGAGATGGGTCTGCTGGAGGCGGATGACGTGGAGACGAGAAGCGAGGTGGTTAGGACGGCGGCGAGGAGAGCGGCCGAGAGGGCGGAGGTGGAAAAGGAGGGGGAAGCTGCCATTGGATTGGGCTGGGCTTTGTGATTGGGCTTTTTTGGTTTGTGAGAGGGATGAGGTGGATTTGGATTTGGTTGTGGATGAGGGAAGAGGGAAACACGAAGGCTTCCAATCTATAAGATATATGATGGAGATTCATGACTCAACTTTCTTCCATTTCAAATTTTCTGCAACGAGAGTGAAAGTAGGAAGGGTACTTTCGTCATTGCAATTGTTTATTTTTTATTTGAAAAAAATATCAATGTCAAGATTTGAACCCGAGTCTCTTCTAACAAGGACAAGAGTCATAACCAATAAGACTAAACAAATTTGTTGCATTTATTTATTAAAAGAACATACAAGAGGCAAAATTCTGAAAATCAAATGACTTTTCCAGCACAGTTAGTTACCCCACTAAGTCTTTCTTAAGCATTTTTAGTGTTGGATCTTTGATTATCATTTATTATTATTATTTTATTTTGACTTCAATAATAATGGTAGTCTATCTTATAAATGGAGGATAATCTTAAAACCGCAATCCAAATATCATTTATTCGAATATTGCATATCAAATTACAATATTAAATATATATGTGCACACACAACCACATATATATGGGTCAGACTGGTGTACTCCTGCAGTATATTATACTTCAGGTACTCTTCGTGAGATATCTCTATCTAGACCATGATTTTTAACCGAGTTTGGGGTATGATACTCTACCCTAACCTCTAATGGATAAACCCCAGGCCCCGATTCTCTAAACTCAAACGCAAAGTTCAATTTAATGGAAAATTATAATTGACCATTGAGATTGATTGGAGCTCAACAAAGTACATCTAATATCTAGATCATGTGGAGTATACTATACTCTTGGAGTATACCAGTATACTATACTCCTGGAGTATACCAGTATGTGTGTGTAGTGTTTTCTATCATATTTTTTAGTAAAATCAAAAGGTAACTCATACCCTTGGTAAGAAATGGAAATCTAGACTTTGAATTAACCTGATTTCGAGACGAGACACTATATTCTAACCCTTGACGAGTGAACTCTAGGTCTTAACTATTTAAATCATAGACCCTAAACCAAGGATTATAAAACCTCATCAGAGGTTGTACCGAAAAAGTCGGCAGTAGGGTATTTTATGCGAAAACTGTGGTTAACCGTGATTCAGTCGTTTCACAACATTACATAGTGCCTACTGGTTTAGTCGAACCCCCGGTACGTTAAGGGTTTTCAATCCTTGCCCTAAACACTAAGATTATGCACATAATTTTTTGGATGTATTTTGATGAAACACGACCTTCGATTATTGTTTCTAATAAAATTGATCTTAGTATATGAGCTTCATAGAATTAAGACCTAGATTTTAATCTGTAAGGGCTTAAGGTATAGTACCATGTCCCTAGCTCCGGCCACTAGACATCATTTTCATACTCAGAGTATATCATTCAATGTCTATATATCATTTCCTTATGTCATTTTCTTACTCAAAATATGATAGAACCACCCATACTTATAGTTGTGTTATCCTGCCGGAAAGTCATTTGTTCTAAATGTTAGTTGGTTGGACTACAGTTTTATCAGGGTTGTATGTTGTTTGAAACATTTTGAACTTCATTAGTCAAATATTTTTAGTACTCCTATATTATTTAGGGATAATATCCTATTTTGTGTTGAACTTTGACGTAAATAACAATTTTGGCATGAACATTCAAATAAGATAGTTTTGTCCGAATTTGAAAGAAATTAACAAATTTGACCCGAAATTTGGGTCGGTTATTAATATTGAGGGTCAAACATTTCTTTTTTCTATGACTCAACATACAATGTTAAGGTGACTGTGGTGTGACTTTCACGTCATAGGTATAATATGCTATTTTGGCCTACACTTTCAAATAAGACAGTTTTGTACGAATTTTCAAAGAAATGGATAACTTTGACCCAAAATTTAGGTTGCCGTTAATATTGATGGGAGGGGTACAAAGAGAGATAGTTTCGTGCTTTGGGATTTTTGGGGGCCTGAATCAATTTCTTTTTCCTTTTAATATGATTTATGCAAGTAAATATGAAAATATTAGGATATACTAAGGGTCCTATTTTGTGGTCTTTTTTTCTTCTGAAAAATTCACTTTTTTAGACTTTATAAATAAATGACTTGGAAGCCATATCCCAACCGAAACCTCTCTATCACAACCGTCAATATTAAAGGTGAACCCAAATTTCGGACCAAATCTGTTCATTTCTTTCAAAGTGCAAACAAACCTATCTTATTTGAAAATTCGAGCCAAAATTGTCTTTTACATCAAGTTCATGCCAAAATAAGGTATTATCCCTATGACATGGAAGCCACATTGCAATCGCAACCACCTAAGCATTGTATGTTTAATGGATGAAGAAATTTTTAACTTTTAATATTAACGAACAACATAAATTTCAGTCCAAATTTGTCCATTTCTTTTAAAATTTTGAAAAACTGTCTTATTTGCAAGTTCATGTCAAGTTTGGCTTTTACGACAAACTTCAAGACCAAAATAAGGTATATTCCTATTATTTATGGTCAACTTACCAATCAAAGTAGTCAGTGAAAGTATCAGCAACACTGACAAAGACAAACATATATAATTCAAAATTAGTTGCACTCAGCCTTAAGTTTGAAGCTCTCTTGAGAACCCCGACTATTTTCTAGGCATCTTCGGGGACTATGGACTAGCATGCTTCCAAACCAGCTGATCTTTATTCTACTTTCTATGAAGAGGAATAATATGGGTGTATCTGTTAGACATTAATTAGGGTTACAAATGATCTCATTCCTAAAATCTGTTAGAGACCAATCTTTTTCTTTCCTCCTGAGGGTTCATTATGTATGTTAAGGAAAAACAACTCTAATCTTGAACTATTTGCCATTTTTAAGTATTGAAAACCTATTATTTGTATGTTTTTCTTTTCTTCTTTGAACAATTATATTTCTTTTTTCAGTGATATGTCGTATCTTCTTATTATATTGTAAGCATGTTATATGAACATATTTTTTGTCTAGACTTTCCCGGCCAAGGGGCCGGGCCCGGTGCTAGTTTATAGGAAGGAGAAATAATTGAGAGAAATAAAATGTTTAATAAAATACAGTAATTTGAATGGTAGAGGGATGGCTAACGTATTTTGTTTCTACGTTATGTATACAATAATTTAATGGACCCCCTCAATTCCCTTTTGCTTTTTCGTTAGGGACAACTCTAGATGGATGGTAATGGGACCTCTTCCATGTCCATGTCTAAGTTGTTTTTGTTGCATATGTGTTTACACCTAAAATATTTTTGTCATTAATTAGTCTCGGCATTTAATTCGATATCGCGGGTAAAAAACGGTGTTGTTTGGAGTCGAGCGGCATCGCGGAGAGTTAAAACGATACCGCAAGAAAGCTCAGCGATACCGCGACACTTGATATGGGCCGCACGGTTAGTGTTGCTGTTGGAAAAGGAGTGTGTTTTTATTCCTTATCGGAGAAGGAGAGTGGAACGACACCGCGTAGAGACAAGCGGCATCGCGGATGGGTAAAACGATACCGCGAAACAGAAAAGCGGTACTGCAAGGAAGCTCAGCGGTACCGCGACACCGCCGGAAAATAAGATGGGGCCGCGCGTTTTGGTATTAGTGTTAGAGAAGGAGTTTTTTTTCTAATTAATTATTATCTTTATTCCTTATCGGAAGGGGAAAAAACGATACCGCGTGGAGTCGAGCGGTGTCGCGGAGAGTTAAAACGATATCGCGAAACAGAAAAGCGGTACCGCAAGGAAGCTCAGCGGTACCGCGACACAGAAAACGACACCGCCGGAAATCAAAAAGGGCCGCGCGTTTAATGGATGTTGGAGGAGGATTTTTATTATTATTATTATTATTATTATTATTATTATTTTTATTATTATTTTTTTTTTATTCCTTGTCTGAGGGGGAGAAGCGGTACCGCATGGAGACAAGCGGCATCGCGGAAAATAAAAACGGTACCGCGGATTAAAAACGATGCCACGGGAGGCCTTGATAAGCGGTGCCGATTAATTAAAAACGGTACCGCGAGTAAGCCCAACGGTACCGCTGTATTAGCAAACGACAGTGTTTAATATAAAACAATGTCGTGGAGTAAAAAAGCAAACAGAGCTGTTTGGGGAAGAAAACGACATCGCGTGAGATTCACACCAACCCGAACGAGGAGGAGATCAAGACGGTTGAGGCGCGTGGGAGTTCACAACGGAGCAGTTGAGGAAGCGGTTCTACCTAGCGTGAAGACTACGAAGCTGTTTTTTGAATAAGAGCAGCGGAGCAAGGAGAGAGAAGGGGGCAACAAAATCAACACAGAAACACATCTGTCAAACTTTATCTTTTTTCTCTGTAACTCCTTCGCGGAGCTCTCCTTCCAGGAAGGATCTCCATAGTTGGTAGAAGTAGTCGTAGTCGCGGAGCTCTCCACAGGAATCTCCATAGGAGTAGCGGTAGTGTAGATTCCCCAAAACTCAAACACCCTCGTTCGAACGTAGTTTGGAGAGGTGCGAACCGTAGTAATG